TTATGCATGATGGAGCTCCGTCGCATTTTAGCCGAGTGGCTAGGCAATTTTTAAATCAACACTTTGCAAATAAATGGATTGATCGTGGAGGTCCCAATGCATGGCCTGCTCGTTCTCCGGATTTGAATCCATTAGATTTTCATTTGTGGCGACATTTAAAATCTATTGTATACGCAACATCGATTGAAAATGCTGAAATACTACGAAATAGAATAGAGCAAGGCTTCCGACAAATTCGAGAAACACCAGGAATGATAGAGAGAGTAACCAGATGAATGACGAGACACGTGCAGGCTTGTCTTCAAATGCAAATTGGTCATTTCGAGCATCTTTTGTAAAAGTAATGAAAACAGAAAATTCATTATATAATTCTCATAAACAAAGACAGATAGGACATATATTTATATGACTTTTGTTCGTTATTTTTAAGCGTACAATCAGCTCTCGAAGTGGGTCTCACAAATTACGAAGCACCCTGTATATACACATCCCCTCTTGAAGTGAACTCCTGGGAAGCTGGACCACCGTCGTTGAAAATCGTTCGTCGCGCGAACGTTTAATATAGATTTTGCAATTAAGATTCCATTAGCGGGAGCGAGACACGCGTGCCACGCGCAAACGTACCGCCCGAGCTCGTGCACGCTGATATCAATCGGACATTAATACTGCGACGCTTTTTCCCACGAGATTTATATATCGGAGAGAATCTGACCCGATTCGTTTCTGCAAAATGCAAATTCGTACGAAACTGAGATACGATGCGAAGTATGTTATTAAATATTTCCTTTTTTTTTTTTTTTTTTTTTTGAAGGGGCATGATTCAATAAATGAGATTTGTCAGTAGGATGGCGGAAGTTTGTATGATAAAAATTGAAATTGCTTTTTATTCGTTGTATAAATCTCGACAGATCATGTTTTCATCATAAGTGAGTTGTCTGCGATAAATATAGGCACATGCGTAGTTGAAAATTATTCTGTCGCAGATATCTCACTTTTCTCCACTTATTCCGATTCCTTCTTTTGTATTACGATTAATCTTCTTACGATAGATTTATGCAAGATGTAAGTATTCAATCTCATAGTCCAAGTACGTTAAATCTCATTCCCAAAAATCTTCGTTAAATATCGTTAATCCCCTTGTAAAATCGTAAGTGTAATCCTTGGGAAATATTACCAGAAAGAAATAATAATAGAATAATAATAGAAATAATAATAAAATTACTAAAAGAAATAATAATAGGGAAACATTATCATAAAGAAATAATAATAAAAAATTTACATATTTCTACATGCCAAGTCGCGAAGAAAAGGTGGTAATTCGTCAAAAGGAGAGAAAATATCGAAAAAAAAGTCCCGTTAATTGTCGAAATCGAATTTCTCTCGAACGTCGCCAAGGATATTCTAAATTTCGTCCAATTCTAAATTTCTTTCGATGTTTCTAGTTCGATCCGGTGGGGATAAATAGTGAGGCAGTGAAAGACAGAGTCGGAGCCAGAGTCGACGAAAGGAGGGAAAGAATGGCAAACGGCGTCGATGCGTTATCGAAATCCCTGGGAGAGGAGTGGGCGAGAGGTGAGTCAAATGGAGTGACCCCCGTAATCAGGGCGCAATTTAATTTCAATTAACCGCGAACGCAAATGAATCGGTTTATCAGCCAGCTTGGTGAATCGATCCTCGATTTGCTCTCTCGGCCAGCTTCGATCGATAACGAAACTTTCCGCAGCAAACTGCCCTCCCCCTCCCTCCTCGGGCCTGGCTCGATTCGGTAATTGCAGTGTGTACTCGCGGACCGAACGATCGTTTGATCTGCTGGTTGTCGGTCGGGATGTCCGACCAATATCAACTTATACTACTGAGGTAGGAAGTAGCAAGTCGTTCGAGGAGGAATTTTGTTGATTATGAAAAGGCGCTCGTTACACGATTTACGCTTTACAAATCGTCAAATTTTGTCGGAGGAGAGGTAAAGGATTCTACTTTTTATACTACTTGTGAGTATTGAATGGTGATCGAGTTGAACGATTACATTTTAGATTGGATTGTAGCTGGGATTATTGGACTATTGAAGACTGTAGCAAATCAGAGTTAATTTCGTTTAATAACTTTTAATTTGTTATATTGCATATGTTACTTGTTTTCAATTTATTTTCTTTCAATGTTACTTATTTTCACTTTAACTCCCTTGCTATATTTTGTCACAATTCAGAGTTAAATGTTTCAAAAGTCCGAATTTTAATAACTGGATGAATTACTATAATTATCCGTAAACCCAGCAATATTATTTGATTAATTATTATTTAACGTTAAGTTTCATCGTGTTTGAAGGCGTGAAATCAATTTTAAATCTACCGAGGAAGATGAAAGATAGTTTAGAACCAATGGTTCTACGTTTTTCTGTTTTACATCTCATGGTGGGTTCCTAGAATAAAATCAACTCTATTTACCGAACGAAGCGAGGATAGAAAGTCGTTTTCTCGTTTGTTCGAACGTTTCGGAGAGGAATTTTGTTGATCGTAAAAAGGGGCTTGTTACACGTTTCCGCTTTATAAAGAGTCAAATTTATTGGGGAAATGAGGGGATAAGTTAGAGCCACCAGCTTTTTACATTTAATATTGGGTTGTGGCGAGTGAAATCCTCGATTTCACAGAGGTTCGGGCATTTACGGCGCGATGACTGCAGAAAGTATAGACATATTAATGAATTATTGAAAGCACGTTTCCGTTAATATTAATGTCATTTTACGATTAAAAAGTAATATACACGCGTTTCGAAATCCAAAGGCAATTTCGGTAACATACATTAATCGACAACGTACAGAGTAATCTCCTGCGGAACTTTCGTTTATTCAATTTACAAACCAATCAATCAGGTCCAAGTGATACCTTCGCAAAAACGTGCTCTCACAAAAATTGAACGAACTCTCGAAAGATGTTTCACTCGAGAATAAAAGCAACACGTACACGTGTGCAGCAACATTTTTCGAACCACGACTTTTGCAGAGTTAAGTCAATTTCAAACACCAGATTTTCAATTACAATTAAATTTAAGCTCGACCTCCGCATCCGACGCGATGGAACTTGTCCGACAAATTCCGCAAACAACTCGATTTCTCTGATTCGTCTGAGCTCTCTCTCGATCGAAGCAACGCGGCGAACGTAACCGAGTCGCGTCTGACCAGCGGCGCGTAGTTTCACTTGCACTCGGCGACGAAACCATAGGTACAATCGTCCACGTACTCGTTCAAACGAGACCGCGCGAGGATAATTAAGAAAACCGAGTTGCATCGGAACGATCGGTGGAGAAACCGCGCGATTTTCCAGAGCAGCATGGCGAACGGTCAACAATGGTTTCACGGTGAACAAAAGAGTCGTACACACGGACGGAAAGCGCGAACAATGAACATAGGTTCAGCAGGTTAGTCGGTAATTAGTCCGACCTGGCCGTGGCGCGGGGTGAAATTGCTTAAACAAAAGACGAGCCACCAAAATCGCGTAAATATTTCCGGTCTTTCATTGTTCCGATAACTACTACGAGGTGAGGCTGGATGAAACTCTCGAAGATCGTTTCACGGTTCACGGTGGGGCGTTGTTTGCGCAGCGATCGATTTATTGCTTTTGTTTTAATCCGGCAGGATTTTCTCCTCCTTCGTCGAAGATTGATTTATTTGGCACGCGTGTGTGTGTGCGTCAGCGGATTTGAAAAAAAGCATTTCTCGATCCTCGTTCTGCGGTTAAGTTGAAGCGGGATGGATACTAAGTGGAGTAATTTGCTAAAGTAGATGGATTCTTTTTATGGTTATTTGAATATCGACGTGTTTAGAAATTATATATTGTCTGTATAAATAATTCTCTTTACGAGAATTGTCTGTCAGTCAGTTGGTCAAATAAGTTAACAATAAATCGTAGGTTCAGCAAGATCCTTTATATTATAATATAATTATATTTATAATATTTATATTTATTATAAATATATTTATATAATTATATTATAATTATAGTCATTATATAGTCCCCCAAGTGACGTGCGCAGAGGTACACAATCGTCACCAATCGCGATTATCCTTAACAGGTATGTTAAACGAAAACAAAAGACGCGTTGTTAAATATATCTGGTGAAAAATTTGTCCGTCATCATCTCCTGTGAAACGAACGAATAAACGACCGCCGCATGAAGAATACAGAGTACCATCTCGAGAAACGTTTAAACGTTTAAACGTATTAATTTCTGAAAAGTTTGCGGTTGGGGCGAGCTCGTTTTCTTAATCCTAACGAGGTTGAAGCGTTTTAAGAATCCTCCGCCACGCGGAGGAAAATGGCCGCGCGTTTCCCGCCGTTTTATCACGGATCGTCTATATTCTGGCCGTCGTCCGGCTGTCCCAGCGAGATTATTTTAATCCCACGATTATCCACCTCTTTATCAAACGCTCGGACTTTATCCCGTAGGCTTATCCTGGTCGAAGGAATCGAATAAATGCCTGCCGAAAATGACGAGGCGTCCATGACCGACGGACAATTCGCAATTTTGTTGTCCGGTTGACGAATCTTATCGACGTTCTCTGTTTTAGAATATTTTTTTGTTGATTTAGTGGTTATAAACTGCAGGAAGACTAGACAATTATAGAGAATTGAATAAATTTTCACAGACTAGCTTTGAAAATTGGAAAGCTTGGAAGCTTAGTGAAGTGTTTAGAGAGATGAATTTCGATAGGGATAGCTATACAGAAATAAATGGATTTTGAAGATCGCACGATTATTTTTAATTTTTTTTTTTTTTTTTGTTCGAAAATTCACTTTCAATTCTTTACAATTGATATCGAATTAGAGATTTGGGAAGCTTAGGAAAGTAAATAAATTTTCGCAGACTGTGACAGTTAGCTTTGGATGAGAAGCTTGGAAAATTCAGAAAAGTGGAGAAATAAATTGATTGTGAAGGTTGTATAATTTTTTTCCCCTTCAAACTAGAGCTCTAAAAAATTCGAAAGGCAGAATAAATGAGAAAATTGGGAATGTAGAAGAAAGTTCCCCCCTTTTCTTTTTAAGAACTGACTTCGAATCATAGCTGAGGAGTGCAATTTTCGACGGTGACAGGACTCACCAGGCCTTTCTGCTTTCCGAGCTGCTTCCAGCACTTCTTGTTGTCCCACGCACTCGTCAGGATTGGAATTCTCAGGAAAGAGATCGCATTCCAGATATTCCGGTAGAGTTAGGCCAAATACGTCCAAGAAAAATCCGCATCTCCTCTTGGTATCTGAGAAGAAACCCAAATTTTTTAAAAAAAAAAAAAAAAAAAATACTCGCAGCAGACGAAAATTTTTAGAAAATTTTTAGTATAGAATCAAAAATCTTCGGAAATTTAATTTCATTGTCCGAGTATACTCGAAAAACAAATAACCTGTTTCCATAAATTTATCGGTGACACGGAGATTGCATACGTAATGGCAAATTCCAGATTTAATTAAAAAAGACTTCCAGATTCAATTTGCAACATCGGCTGTCTCTGCATGATCGATTCGTGGAATTGACTTGTATACACGATTCTACGACGATAATTATTTATCAATATATGTTAGTAAAAATAATGAAAATTTATTATTATTAATGAAAATTATGAATTAATTCCTACAAAGTATCGTTGATTGTGTTTGAAAGAAATATGAAAATATTTGCAGAAATTACAAGTATATATCTCGCGGAGATGGCAAAAGTATTTAAACGGCCAATTGTTCGTTATAATCTACTTTTATTATCAATTATATCGTTAAATATCCATGAACTTTAATATTCAACGAAATTACTTGAAACGCGTGCTTAAGATTATTGCACTAATTTTATAATTTTGTAATTTTTACTCTAAAGAGGAGCAATAATTGTTTGAAAAATGTCAGTGCAAAGTACACAATGTGCACGTAAAAATGTCGCACGATAAACTCGATGAAACCTCGATAATCAAAATTCAGAAGAAGCGCGGTTGTCTAAGTGGAATAAATCCGTCATCGATCGGACAGACCGTTCTGATATCGAATCTAGTCTAGACGTGGTATCTCGTCTCGACAAAAAAAAAAAAAAAAGAAGAAAAATATAGAAAATAGAGGAGATCACTTACGAAAACAGAGGCTACGACAGGGTCGCACCACGTGGCCCCGGGATCCACATTTTGGCACAAAAACGCTGCAGAGGAAGAGGGCTGCCAATTCGTAGCATTTGACATCGATCACGGCACCGTATGGTTCGAGGTCGTGTTGGGCGTCGAGTTGCCCGAAATCGCCCATGTAATTTGGGAAGATGGTGAAATTATACGGGATCTAAGGGAATCGACAACGAAACGACACTCGTAAAATGCGTCTGGCTTACCCCTCCGTTTTAATTAGGCCATCTCGACGTTCCGCTTACAGTTGCGTGTATACTCTCTCTCTCTTTCTCTTTATCTCGAGGAATTTAAAGATACGGAGTTGAAATAAAAGTTCAGCGAAATCATTTAACCCCCTATAATTTATAGTATCATTTACTGTTGGGAATTTTTTTACATCTTTGAAGTAATTTTATCATCTAATCGTAATATTAAATAATTTATTTGTCAGAATTATTGGCACTTACTATGTGTAACGAGAAATCAGTTCGTTCGTTTTCTTTACATAAAATATAAAATATAAAATAAAAATATAAAATTACAAGTTTTTCGTTTTTGATTGGAAATTGAAAATATTTGCCATAAGAACTTTAAAAAGTAGGCACCTTAAAGTTCTAAAATGGACACGTTTGAAGATGTTAAGATAGATTTATAATCAAACGAGTGTGTCGAGAAATACGAAATTAATCCACTTTGTTACCACTGTTGTACTATTATACTGATACCAATTAATCTACTTAGTTTCCAGCTTCAGTTTTCAAACTTAGCAGTGAGTTAGCTCCAGAGTTTCCAAATCACTGCGGGAATCAGTTACAATTTTTATTCCTGACGAACAAACAATACTGTTACAAAGGATTAATTCGTTTCACCCGATGGAAAAAAACTGCAGTTCAAACTTAAAAAAAAAAAAAAAAAACAAAGAGGGAGAGAGAGAGAGAGATTATTTCTAATTTCAAGCGGAGTTTCAAGTATTTATTGGGTATGGAACAATCGAATAACAAATACCGCGAATGTGAACGAGCAATCGGCGATACTACGAGCGCCTTTCGCATTGCTCAACGCAGGTAAAAACACACATGCACACACACATACACACACCGATCGAACGGCAAGCGTGACATGCATTGTTTTAATTCGATCCGACGACTCCGGAGAATCTTGTAGACGGATTCCTCGCGAGCTTATTGGAAATTATTTCCAAGAAAATCGCGCGCGGCACGTGAACGACAGTCGAACGCGGAAGGCTTACCTTGTGGTATGTGCAGAAGGTCACGATTATGGGCAGACAGACACCTGGCGCCGGATTCTTCTCCTCGATCGCTGTTGATACTCGTTCCGTGAACGCGACCACGTTCGTGTAGATCGTCTTGTTCTCCACTCGTATAAGTGTCTCGGGATAGGCTAATTTCATTTTTCAAAAATATTACGTTTTCGTACGTGTCGAAGTCAGTTTCTTAAAGACCGACGACAACATTCGTGATACACGCTACAAATTCTCTGACTTCTTTGTTTTTATAAAATCAACAGATAGAAGAGGCAGGAACGAGGAGAATGTCGAACGAATGTCCTTTGGAATTTCCATAGCGTTAAAAAAGATGTTTCTATTTTTTATAATTTACACTTCTCGATAACATTACGAATCATAAGCGAATTCGTTGTTCAGCGTCTTTAATTTTTGATGGATTAATATTGACTTTGGAATGAATACGTGGCATCTAGAAAACAGACTGAAGCTCAGACAACTGATCATTGACTTTGAACCTTTGATATTCTCTCGGGACCACGTTTTACCCCGTCTTCCCTTTGATCAACGCGCGGTCTAATGGATGTTGCGAGGAAAGTATTGTACGACACGGTTTTCATACGCTCGAGTGCCCTCTGTCATTCTGCGCTGCTACACATTACCGACCAGTTCTTTCAGGAACATTCAGGAATCCTCTTCCATCAACATTCTCGCGAGATAACCTGAAACCTTTCCTCGCGAGCAAACGTCCCGTAAATGAACACGATTCCACTGCGCAATTTTCTGTTTTTTGATTATATCGTTAGTCGCATGACAGATTGAAAATTACTGGACAGCATCTAACGAGATTTCTTTTCATTAATTTAACCTGTTAACTGGATCAAACCAAGTTAATTTTGTAATTATAGTGCCAGTATTTAATAAAGACAAATTGAGTTTAATCCGCTCCACAATTTATTTCCGACTGTATTGTTAGTCGCATGATGGATTGAAAATTACTGAACAGCATCTGACAAGATTTTTTTTTTTTTTATTAATTTAACCCGTTAACTGGATCATTTTTTAAACCAAAGTCTTTTATAATTATAGTGCCAGTAATTAACAAAGATAAATTGATTCTAATCTGCTGCGCAATTTTCTATTTTCGATTGTATTGTTAGTCGCACGATGAATTGAAAATTACTGAACAAGATTTTTCTTTTTTTTTATTAATTTAATCCGTCAACATTCATTTTTTAAACCGAAGTCTTTTATAATTATAGTACCAGTAACAAAGATAAATTGATTCTAATCCGCTGCGCCGATTTTCTATTTTCGATTATATTCTTAGTCACGCGATTCAGATCGAAAATTATTAAAATTATTAAAATTGTTAAATAACATTCAACAGGAATATTCCTCGTTAAGTCAATCTATTAACTAATCTTTTATAATTACGATGCTAGGTGAATCTCGATCCTTGCAAATATAATTACGATATAATTATCTTGAACGAAAACGATACTACTTTAAAAAATAATGGATTTACGAATAGAGAAATTACCATGTTCCAAAAACTGAAGTTTCAGCGGTCGAATAGACTCGCCGTTTTCGAACGGAATTGATTCCTTGAATCAATACAAATCCACCTGGCGATTTTATCAACGTTTTTAATTCCTCCCCTCGTCGCCTGTCGCTCTTAGTGGCACGACGGATCAGAGATTACAACAAATTGAAATTAATCGATCCAAAGGGTATCGATCGATGCTTGGGAGAAAGAAGGGGAGGGGTGGGGGGGGGGGCGGCGGGAGGAGAAAGGACCAATAGAAAACAACGGATGCACGGAACAAAGTTGCACGCCCGAAGCCGGTGTTGATGTTTGAAAGCAAGTAGCACGCACGGGAACTGGGAGCTCTATTGATCTTCCGCTACCACAAAGCTCCTCGTGCTACGTGCTCGTGCATTATACCACCTAACGTCACCAACATTTACGTTTGTCACCGACGATCGCGCAATAACGGTCCCGCCCGACACGTTTCATCGGCGATTCATTGCGATTACAGCTTGTGCTGCGTGGCGCAAGTAGCGCCGTGTGTCGTCGACAAATGGATACGCGGCACGTTTTTAAGTGTGACAAAGCGGTCTACGTGTCTACTTACACTTGAAGTAAATGGTCAGACCACCGGCGATGATCAACAACGCGACAGCGTTGAAGAATACCTGCACGAATCTGAATCGCAGCCTCCCGTTCGTCACGTAATGCCTGCTGGCCATGTCGCTGATTATCTGAAAATCAATTTCGAGGATTCAGCGATACGACATGTTGGTTGGTTGTTCGTGGATCTTTCTCTGGGTAGTTTAAGTGGAAACGTCTTGCCGCGTTAAATCGAACTTTCGAACTTGAATCGAGTCGTTTGGTAGCACAAAAATAGCTTGTGATGCCCTAAAACCAGCAGGTATAATAAAACTGGAGAAACTATAATTTCTACAGTACTGTAATTTGTATAATAGTCTCGTTTCGTTAAATGCGTTTCAAAAATAATTCGTTTACGTGCCTTTCAAGTTAAAAGTTGCTAATTTTAGCGGAAGGAGCACATTTGATGTTTAACTTTCTCGTATCTGACAAGGAATCAACGCATCGGCACGTAAAATTCCTCGTCAGTCACTATAGATTAATATTATTGTTCAAAACAATATGAACTTTTACACTGTAAAAAATTATTTAGAAAAAGATTATCTACACAAAGAATTATCAAAAACCCACTCACTTTCTCCTCAAACCAGCGTTTCTGAGTTTCTCACCAATTTCATTCTCGATTATATAATAATTCTTCACGCAGAATCAATTACGCAGAACTAAAACGAGTGTTTAAATTGTCACGTAGAAAGAGGATGATTTCGATCTGTTCTGGCAAGGAGAACGAGAGAAAGACTGGCTCGTCCTCGGTTACGTAATTCTCTGGCAACGAGCGTTCGGGGTACACGAATTGACGCAAATATTAGTCGGCGGTGTACGTCGGGCGTACCGTACTCGCAACAGATTCTGTGTTTGAGGAGTCAACGCACCTCTGACTACGTGTTGGTACGCGCTAGCCGACCCTCCGCCAGCCAATATCGATTATAATTTCCTCGCGGTGCTATCGCGTTGGCGAAGGGCAAATTATGTTTCGCTGACAAACCTGACTCGCCGAATTCCCCTCGTGGCTCGTTCACCGTGTGGTTCAGCCTCCGCGTTCTCCCGTTTTTCGCGAAATTTCCACATTAAACCACCGTGTTTGAGACGCGATCCTTGGAAATATCTTCGATATTCGCCAGTAATCGAGTTTCAAAACCTCATTTCACTACAGTCGTGTAATCTTTATTGGGTTCGAAGTCGGAGAAGATTTTGTGGAATTAATTTTAATTACTGGAGGTATTCGTCCGCAAGGATTTGATTCTGAACATTGCAGAGAGGCAAAGGGGGATCGTGGTTCCATTATTTTGGTCCGTGTCTTTCGATTAAAACTCGTTGGCGATTGAAATTCATTAATATCGGTCTCCGCAGCGTTTGTAACATGTGTAGTACACAAAAGTAGAGTATTTGAACAAAGAATGAGAAAATTAGTAGGTCGGATCGTGAATTGAGCGTGCAAGTAGTTTCAGGCGCCACTGGTCAGACCATTTCTACTTACGTAAAATTACACTGTGTAATTCTCTAGAGTTTTAGAACAATTTCTTTTTTATCTCAATAGAATTTTAACAAAAAAAGAAAACAAAAAAACAAAAAAACAATTTTCTAACAAAATTCCAAAACTATTTCTATTAAATCGTCACACGTTGTCAAGACAAACATATCGTTTTCCATGTCTCGTTAAAACAGAACGAAAAATCGCAAAATTGCACATTTGACGGCATTATTTTATTTTTCAATAGAAAAGTAATCGACGAGATAAAACGGCAACAAAAACGGAGCAATTAAAAGCGTAGGCTATCGGTTTTCATAAACGCGGCATCGGTTCGCGTCTGTCTCATGGAAATTTCGCGTTTATTATCCAGGCACACTCTGCTATCTTCGTCGTTAATAACAGTGGACCGATGTTCGATGTAAAATGATATCGTGTCTCTGGGCTGCTCGATACGAGCCCACCGACAGTTTCCCACCGCTATCGCGCACATAACTCGGGGAAAGAACCCATGGACGCCAAGCCCGTTTCTCCGATTTCCCAACAAAAGGAACAAATGACGCGAGTTATCGATCCCCATGGAAACGCGCGATCCCGCGTTCGTTTATTCCGGCCATCGCGTTAACCCACCGCCGCGATCATCGCCGATATCGCGAGAAAACACGAGCGAAATCCCCCTTATTCAAACTATTACACGCCGCTTCTATCTCACTGTGTCGTTTTATAACAATTGTTTAACCTCGTTCCTCGAAGGCAATATTTTTGAAAACGAAAAGATACGAAAACGAAGCGCGATAAGATGTACACGAGATGTTCAACTCGTACATTCAAGAGTTTTTCGATTACCTCACTTCAATTTCTTTGTCTGTCTGAGAGGTGAGAACATCGTGGTTGATTTCTGTGATACACAGTTAATTGGAGAATGAATAATATTGCGACGAAGATGTGTGATTGGCAATTGGAAAGATAAGATTATATTCCTCAGTCTTAAAATCCGAAGCTTCTTACGTAACGTCAGTTGTTGGAAGTTGAACCGTTAAGCCGAGTTTGAAACTCGACAACTGTTTTATATACCGACTGTTTTAGTATTGCAAAAGAATTTTTGAGAATTGGTAACTTTCAACTTGCAACGGATAAAGTATCACTAATACTGTCAACCTATAATTTCCTTCCGACTCTCAACTGACACTCAACTCGCCGAGTTGCGCAGTGTATATTCAATATAATCCCACTTCAATTTCTATTTTATATTTTCCATCACGAACGCTAGTACTCGCCGAGTGAAATGAAAATTAACTGCAGCCAATACAAATCTGTCCGAAACTCGAGTATACACGCCGATACATGTAGCTCAAGTTGCCCACTCGAAGAACCAATATAATATTTCACCGTCACGCGGCAGATCAATTTACTTCATCTCGTTACGAACCTCCGCCGAATATTCCCCGCGCGAAGATCCGTAGACGGCGAACTTTCGTCATCTTTGATCGCGTGACGTTTCTCGATTCGAATCACGGTCCGACTGCAGGCTGGCTGCAGGCCTTCCGGACGACCAATTAAACCGACTCGACTCGAAACCGTTTCCGGCTTTCTGCGACGTGTCAACAAGCTCGCTTTGGAAGTCGACGTTGGCTTCCAAATTTGTTCGCGCTCGGCCAAGCGTGCCAGCCTTCAGAAATCACTTGACCCTTAATTCGCGCGTATCTCTCTCCATATCATCCTCTTCCTTTCTCTCTCTCTCTCTCTCTCTCTCTGTCTCTCCTTCCCTCTATCTATCTATCTATCCATCCTTTCGACGTTACGTAACAACAGGCGTGGGAAACGAACGCAATCGATAAACGGCGGGCGCGAAAGAATTAATCGTGCCATTTTCACCGTTACGTAACCGGCGGTTCTCGTATCTGCGCATTGAAAACGTCGCCGTTGGGGGGAACTGCTTACCTTATGATGCAAGGAGCCGTTGTTACCACCGTGAACCTTCACGATCGCTTGCAAGCTCGCCGGGGTGCTGGTCGACTTGATGATCGTCCGTCCGGAGGAGCTGTCCGGCTCCGACACCAGTGCCCTGTCTGAAAATTCCGCCAGGAATTTCATTAACATGGCGGTCATCGTCGGACTGTTAGGGGGTGGGTAAAGGAGAGTATGTTGTTAGCTGGATTCGCCGATTCTTACACGTCACGCATTTTTATATCTTCGCGAATGAAAAATATTCGACAGCAGAGTTCCAGGGGATTTCGTGGACTAGCATGAAGCTTGTGCTTCTTAATTTTTGTCAGTAATTGTAATTAAATAGTTATAATTATTAATATAGTTGTTAATTAAATTATAAAACTAGCATGGGAGAAACGCTGCTAATAATATTAGTTCTGATGTTGAAAAAAGGGAATTTTTATATCTAATAAACATTCTACTTTATATATATATTATGTATAAATATGTATATATTATGAATATTATGAATAAATTTATATATATTAAGTAGAATGTTTATTATGGATATATACATATATATTATAACGTTCTACTTTATATATATAAATATTCATATATTTATAAATATTTATAAATATATATTTTACTTTATGTATATAAATATTTATATTTATATATATAAAGTAAAATGTTTATTATGAATATATATGTATATATGTATATATTCCATGTGTTTTTATATAAAACTTCACCATTGTTCCATCATTGTTCTTTACATAAAGATCCGCAGTCTGGCTTGGCTATGAAGCGAATTTTCATTTCACTCGCAACCCCTTTCAATCATTAATATCCTACTGTTTATTTTATTAACGTCAAATATGAGGAGACACGAGTCAATGTAATATAATAAATGCTACATATCTTTCACTTGGATTCTATATAATTTTACGGAATTTTCGAGAAATCAAAGTATTTTGTAACACCGTGATGAATTATTGCTCGGTCCTTAATAGGTTAAACGGGAGGGTGGATTCGAGTCACGTATAGAAGCCTCGTGATGGTTTGCTTTTCTAACAAACAGGTGCAATTGAACAACAGCAAACGAAGGGAGAAATGACACGAGTACCAGGATGATTAATTGAGATCGATTTTTAAGGAAGGTTGGTTGTTTCCTCCCTTTCTCTCTCTCTCTCTCTCTCTCTCTCTCTCTCTCACTTATTCACTCACTTATTCACTCACTCACATACACACATATACACTTTTCTGTTGATTGTAATTGAATCGTTGATTTCGATACGATGAAATATTGGAACACTGGTGTTTAAACAGAAGAAACTGACAGGGTAAATGTCTGTTTTATCAGCGGTGCAAAAGAACATGTTGGATACGTTGATTTGGAAAATCGGGTGGATTTGTCACGTTGGTGAAGCTAATCGCGGTGTGCGACTGAAACAAGCCTCGATCCATCATCGACCGTACTTTGCAGCGAAATTTCTGCTCGATCATAGTGTGGTTAAATACGTCTGTTAATTTTGGAGGTTTAAGTCTACTTGTTCTACTTAATGCATCAAACATATATCTAGATTCTCACAGTTAAAATGAAAATTGTGGATCTGCTCCTTTTACTGATGTGATAGTGCAATTGCTATTTTCGTAACATATTTGAGGTTATTTCGTAGTGGAAGGAACACAGCACTCTAATATCATTTCCCAATTTTACAGTTTTTATTTTTCTGATTAGTTTTCGTAATGTTGACTATGCATCCGTGGTAAATTTAAACGAACAAAATTGTACAAGTTAATATGCATACGAAACAAATTTCTTAACATAATATTTAAAAGATGAAACAAACACTTTTACCAGCTTCCAATCTTTTAATTTTAAATATGAATTTGCAAAAAGTTAGACGTTAAAAGATGAAACCTAAACTCCTTTTTTTTTTTTACCATGGTTATCGTCTAATTCATCCTTACCTGGTACTTTGCCGTATTTATGGGGTAAAAGAGGAGCCTCCATGGTCTTGCTGGTGTAACTAGGCGAGCTGGTCTGACTGAAGCTGTCCGAGGAAACGTTGCTGTCCTGTCGAACACTCATAGGTTTCGGCACAGAGCTCTGCGTGATCGCACTCAGCGGCGGCGGCAGGTTCGTCTGCGTCGCTTTCGGTAACTTCTCCAATTTCTCGCAGTTCCTCTCCTTCCTCAGATTGTGCTGCAAAATGTTCCGCACTCTGTCCATCTCTGCCTCGTATTTCCCGCGTGGAGCCGCTTCCGCGGATTTCTGTTCGTCGTACCTGATTATTTTCGAACGAAAGGAAACAAATTAATCGCAAACAAAGGTTCTTTCGTTTTATTTCTTCGAAAACTCGAAATGCTCGAGAAATTGAAAACTTCGTGGAATTCTACGAAACACTGTTGCAAGATCGTAGAAATTCTCAGTGCGAGCCGAGGATATTATTGAATAATAAATATATATAATATGCTTATATATATTAAAAAATTTTAAATACTCTTCTGTTCATTTGGAAATCTTGGAACTAATTAGAATCTTCAAGACTTTGGTTGCGAGGTCCTAAAAATATTTAGAAAACAAGCTCTAAATCTCATTGTGAGAGATTCAACGATCCTCTGCATCCGTCAAATATTTTTTAAACCTAAACGAAGAACTGTTGTAATCAAAGGATTTACCTGGCAGCAGACCTATCCTTGCTCGCTCTCAGATGGTCATCCTCCTCGTACAGTCGTCTCTCGAGCTTCCTGGAGGCAGCCTGAAGCTCCTCGAACTTGCATCTCTTCTCTGCCTCGCGGTGCGACCTCACCAGGGCTGCAAACTTCGTCTCGTCGTCCTGCAGGGTCTCCCTACGGGACGCGGCAATTTTCTCCCGAGACTTTCGGTCCGCAGTTTCCTTGCAAGAACCCTCTTTTCCCGTCTTCGACGACTGAAGCCTGTCGAACAAACCGGGCGGGCAAGCGTCGTGAGCTCGAGCTCGAGGCGGGGGGGGGGGGGGGGGGGGGGGTGAAAAAGTTTCGCGAGGAGAACTCGCGCGGAATGGACGGTCGATTGAATTAGCCCCGAAAGTTCCATCGTCGTTTGATATATTAAAAAAGTGGCCGACGAAGTTCCATAGACTTGTGAAATTACTAGAGCGGTGATGCACGTTTTCCTCGCCACCCACCCTCTTTTGATGTCTCGCCGGAATTTAACTAACACTCCCTCCCACTTTTGTTCGAGTGCACGAACGTGTAAGACGCCGTGGGTTTCTAAAACGGAGTTTGTAATAACCCGAAACACAGCGGCGAAGATAGCGTTCTATTTAAACTCTTGCGCCAAGAATGGGAAGAATTCTAAATTAAAGCCAGCTACGTAAGTCCTCTTCCTCGCGTTACGTTCAATGTGCCCTTTTGAGTTCGCTGTACATGCCCTCTTTGAGTCTTTGAATTTTCACTCGAATCATCCTTCCGACTCCAATTGTCGCTTCCCCAATCAATTTCACCCATCGTCCACAGTTGTTAGTTCCTTTCTTTGCATCGGGGCTGTAACCTTTCTAATTGAATACCATCCGAAAGTTCTTATTAAAAATTTAAGCTGTATTATTTCGTCTGTACTGTTTTTCTCATTCAATTTTAAACTTCGCGCCAGAACCATAATTTTCGTGCTGGAATTTCTCGCGGTATCCTATTCGAAGAATTGATCGGACGTAGCAGAATCACGCGTGAAACAAATTTTTTTTTTTTTTAAATTACTAAATGTTACTGAATCTTTATTTCAGCCTTTCGGCCTAGAAATAGACCTCAGTGCCTTACATACATTATTCTTTACATTTTGTTTTCAGTTTTAATTCCCTTGGTTGTCAAGTTTTCTCTGATTACTTTCCCCTTACATCTAGTATTGCATGCTTTAATCTAACTTTATACTATACATAGACTAATTAGACTAATAGAGAATAATATTTGCACACTTACTAAATGTTACTAAAGATTACTGAATTACTGGATTACTAAAAGTTACTGAAGATTACTGAAATCTCAATCAAAATTGCACGTTTCTTTTGTTTGGCAGTGTTGCGATTTTCTAGAAAATTTTAGAGAGGCGGAGAAATTAGCGGCGAGACGCCATGGCCGATTACGCTCGCGACCGGCTAAACGAAGCGTGAGCTTCGACTCTATCTCCGCGTTCGAGCAGACGTTCCATCGAAACGTTCTGCCGTGCTCGTAAACGGCCTTAATACTCTGTTCGCTCGCCACGTGCGTTTTAGTGCGCCGGGGATGGGGGTGAAAGCGTTTTGCAGGGAACATCGACCGCTTCTTTATAATTTCGGTGCACGTGATGGATAAATATTGCAGTTTGACGACGGGAAATGGGTTTATAACGGGAGATTAACTCGTTGGACGGGTCATCGTTTCGATCAGACTAAAAGTTAATGGGAGGACAGAACGGACTTTGGGTAGATTTTTATTCCTTGTGAGCACGGTGTGATTTATTGGACGTCTAGACACTATTTTTTAGACACATTGTCACGTTTCTACGTATGTACATAATTTTTGCTCTTTTTCGTACAATTTAAAATGTCTGAAAATCTGGATGATAATTAATCCTTAATTATTGAAACGGATAAATTAAAAGTATAACAGATCAAATTATTAAAAATATAAAAATAGAAAAAGTAATTTTCTGAGATCCTTAAGGATGAATTTTATTTTCAATCTAGACAATTAATTCCAATTGTCGATTGTCGAAATTTCACGTGTTATTTTTAGATCGAAAATTTGAACAGTATCCCTAACGCCTAAAATATTCTACTTACGCAGTAACAATTAAAGGATAAAAGATAAAAATTGCATTTGATATATTCCAAAGAGATGAAGAAGAAAACGCTTTATGGAATATTTTTGCAAATAATTATCATTCAGGAAGGTACATTGAGAGTCCTTCTTCGTCTTGGATGTATTAGCTTTATTTCGGAATTCATGTTGCTGCGCGGGAGCAACAAAGTTTCCCAACGTGATTTTGCCAGGGTGACATGGCGACATGGTTTAGAACGAAGCAACGTTACACGGAACGAGGAGAATTTCATTGGGAGCTTGGGTGGATTCGTTTGACGCATGTAGGTGGATTAAAAGGAAGGGAAATCGGCGATATTTTGAGAGATAATTCCAGGAATTCGTAGGAAATATGACGAAATCCTCTATTTCGAGAGAATCGTGAATGAAGTCGAATTTTTTTAGAAAAATCTCTATGCTTCCAAACGAGGAAGGTCATTTATTTGATTACGAAAATCTAGATAATCTTTGGACAAATTTTGTACGCGCATTATTCTGTGTCACTTCAGTATTTTATTGAGCAATTAAATACACAAATGGAAGCAAATTCAATTTCTTGAACATTTGATGAATAATAATCAGGTATTCGATTAATTGTATAATATAAAAGACATGCACAACGAGTCGTAAAAATATCTGCCTCCTTCTGTCAATCGTCAATTTTCAACGACAGATGTTATTTTACAATACGAGTTTCAATATTCTTACTAATAATGAATATATGCTAAAGTAACCAAGCTACGAACAAGTTATCATTCTCATTATATGTCTCAGTGTATGTCTCAAACAAAATTTTGATACATACACTGTACGAATACACGAATTGTTCTCAAAATGTCCAATCCTCTAACGAGAATGCTGTACGAATACTTGTACGACTCGCTATACATCGATCTCATAAATCACGTGAATCTTGCTCACCTGCTGTTCTGCGCGTTGTCTCCCTGCCTCTGCCTCCCTTCTCCACTCTGGTCCTTGAACTTCGACTCGGCGCTCTTCACAATTCTCTCATGCAACCTCTTCTCCAAGTCGCGCGACGCCTTCTGCAGTTCCTCGAAGCTAGACTTGTCGCTCGGCTTGCAGCCCCCGTCGAAATTCGCTTTGTCGAAGTCCGCCACAAAGTCGTTCTCCTCGCTCGTGTCTCTCAACGTGTACTCTTGGCGGTTAGGTTGGTCCTGGAGAGAGCCCAGGTCGATCAGCTTCTCGTTGTTCGTCTCGCGGGGCCAAGATGAGGACAAGATCGACGAGGACGGTGGCGCTGGATCGTTAGCTTTCTGCCGATTCGTCTGAGCGTTCTTTCTCGTTGGCACTTGTATCGGGATCGGCTTCTCGTTTCTGTTTCGTTTCGGGATCGCTGGCGGTCGCAGTGGTATCGGTGGCGGTGCAACCTGTCGGATCAACAAGTTCCCCGATAGAGTTTCCTCCCCCCCCCTCTATCTGCACTTGCTCTGTTCTACTCGATTCGCCTACTACACCCTCGTTGTGTTGGATGACACACAGTGGAAGTTGTACTCTGTCTTTCAACTTGCACGCAAAGCGAAAGAAAAACTCAGTAGGCTGTTTGCAGTTTTTCCTTCTTCTTAACCGCTTGCGCTGGCAACTGGTTCGCGGACCGTAACGAGCGACCAAACCGTATACTGCAAATAATTCGTCGCTTTCTGTTTGACGTCGTCGATGATGATATCACTGGATAGAAATTCATATATCACTATACTTCATATATCATTCAGATATCACTAAGAAGCAATAAATTTATTATTTGCTTTGCTCGGATTATATTTAAATACACTTAAAACTGAGAAAATACTGCAATTTTGGGATAAAAGATCCTCGACGTGCGTGGCACGTCAATTTAGCGCAAGAGGTTAAATTACGTTCAACTTCGTTTCCCAGCTGATTCTTTTCCCGCGAGATCTCTCTTCGAGGGTCAGAAGATTGCGTTATTTTCTCTTTTATATTCGTTTCTGTTCTTTTAAAATTCTGTCAACTTAATCGCTACACTCTGTACAATCGATTAATTTATATCATCAAATTTCGTCCTTTTTAATACTGAGAATTCCAAGAATTCGCTAAATCTTTCTCATCTAGTTCCCGTGACTTTTCGAAATTTCGAAATTTCAAGTACCCAAGTTACTGTGACAAACTATCGTTTACTCTCTGAACAATCAGATGGACACTGGAATTGTCAAATTGATTGGAATGTCCAATATCGGATCTTCTGTTCCATATTTTTATTAATCAATGTGTGTGTGTATGTGTGTATAATATTTTCTGTATATAAAACTCGTTAATGGACATGAAATCCACTGTTGCTGACACGTAGCAGAAAGATAGAGAGAGAGAAGAAAAAGAGAAAAGCAGAAAGTGTTAGAGACACTTGCAACTAGACCAACAAAACACCGTGAGTCTCGTGTGTACATGTGTGACATATGTAAATGGTGCGCGTGTGGTTAGAGTGACGATTGTCCTCGTGTCCAGACCTGTCTGTGCAAAGAACCGGACGGATTCAGCTTGATCCATTAAACCCTCGTTTGCCCACTAATTACGCGGACCTGTTCGAGGAACAAGCACTTAGACGAAGAACGTTTCGTTCCTCGTTGCTTCTGCTCGATTTACTGCGGCCGCTTAAAACCAGAAGAGGCCGAGATTACGCCGTGGTCCTTTTCGTCTTTGTTAATTCGTTTGAGCGTCGGTGCGCCACTGAACGTTACCTTTCGGCCTTTTCGTGCGATTTAGGCGAGAAATTGCTATCGTTTCGCTACAATACCACAAAGAAAGAAGCAGATTGTGAATCCTGGTGTCATCCTTTTTTGGAATTATTACGCGCTGGATGCGATGTGTTTCGTTTTGTTACTGTAATTGCTGTAATTACTGTAGATTCGTTTTGTGGCAATTGGATCGGCGAATGTCTGTCTACTTATGGGAAATTCTACTGTAGAGAGATGTCCAGAGTAAAATATTCGCGCGACGTTTTTGTTTCGTGGATGTAATTGGAAAGATAAAGTGGTCCTCTGCTTTGCTTACTTTACAGGTTTTCTTTTTCTTCGCGTTTAGTATACAATATGTTATATTGCCGTGAATCCGATTTAATAGAAACCTGTTTCACGCGTTGGATTAAAATATTGCGACTAGAGTGCTTCTCGATAGATCAAGTAAATCTTTGTTCCTTCAGTTTTATTTCTGCAGATAAGAGATTTTAAATTTAGAAAATAATAAATTATTTTTTATAACATTCAGTACAATAAAGCATAAAAAATTTCCCCCGGGCTTCTCTATTTTTCTAATTATATTCTCAAAAGATACTGCATAAAATTGTACCACATCTAGTTGCAATCTAGTTCTCTGGAAGATTCTCCACGCGAGGAAAAAAAAAAGACGCAGAAAATTTCCATTTTTTATTGACAAAAGTATCCAACAGAATTTTTTAATTCCTGGTCGACACGCGTGAAACAGCGTGTCGATTAAACCAGAATCTGATATTAATTGAAACAGCGAGGACGTTTGAACTTTACGTACCGCAGGTGTTGCGGAATGGCGGCGCGGTATCGGCGGTGGAGTGTCGCTTCCGGTGGGCGGTGGTTCCGGAAGCAAGGACGTTCGTGCCGGTAATCCGACGCTGTGAATTCTACTCTGCCTGAAATTTTCGCAGGAAAACGTTATCGTACTCGGTGGGACGGAGAAATCTTCGAGAAACAAATTCCCGAAACAACGAAAGAAAAGAAAAGAAAAGAAAAGAAAATTGGACGCAGGTCTCTGTGGTCAGTGGTCGTAAGCCTCTTTGCGAGAGTATCGGTAATTCGCAGAGATGTCAGTTACTTATTTAGTCGCGCGTCTTTGACGGATCGAACTCGCTAATTAGACAGTCGGTATCAATAAGTGCCCTTTTAACAGACCAGCTTCCTTTGTAGAAACCGTTCGTCCGAAATCCGTCCTTCGAGGCTGAGTCACAGAGATCTGAGATAATTAATTCCTCAATTAATGTCGAGGACGAACATCGTGCGACGTCACTGTAATTTGATACATACAGAGCGTGTTTAGAACTAGGATGTTTGCGGCTCGAAGAGCCTGGTAATTAGGAACGCGAACTTCGTCAGTCCTTCGTTATCAATCATTTACTTTTCGTATGAATCGAAATCGATCCTTGTCGAATTTCCTGATTCTTTGGGTGATAATATGCTCTAAACAATTGTCAAGTCAGATCCCGTACAAGTGTACAAAAGTGAATATTAAAAAGTCACTTATTGGCGATCTATTTTTGACTTATCATTAATAATTCAAAGTTCTCTATTTCATTGCTTTTACTCGTGGATTAATTAGTCTATAATGTTTATCGTAACTTGATAATATAATTGGGTGCAGTTACAGACATACCAAATGAAAAGGTTCTTTCATTAAGAAAATCCTTCATCAGATATTTTCATTGTTGAAGAAAGGTCGAAGCATGTTGAAAGAGACATATCGTTCGTTATCAATCCATGTCGAACGAACATGGAAAGTTGAACGAAAATTTTCGGTTTGCAATCTATGTTTTCCAAGTCTCACGGTTTCCTCGTGGTCTCAGTTTTGTAATGAAGGATGGAAAGCGGAAACTCGGTGATTAAATATCACGCCGCGTTCGTACCAAGTTCTCGGTTACAAAGTAAGAAGACGGAAGGAAAAAAAAAGAAGTGTCCGTCACTGACGCTTTTAATACGAAGAGCAAATGGATCTCGGAGCAATCAGCCTCGACTCGAGAAAGTTATCCCATTAGACGCGTAGAATTTTGAGACTAGATAGGCCGAATGGACTTTCAAAGCCTGTCTTCGGCACTAGCTAAATCAAGAGATATGTATTTCTTTTTAATTACCTTGGCTCACGCGTGGGACTCGTGTCGCCGCCATGTGCCTCCGTTCCAGACATTTTAAGCGCTGCAATCAACGAGAAAAAATGCGTCAATGGACGATTACGTTCTTCGAAATTGGTTAATTATCTAGCGCAGAGGCTAACTGGCGGCACGCGGGCCCTTGCCCCTACTTTTCTGATCGCTAGCACTATCCCCTCCATAGCGCTACTCCCTCCATAGCGCTACCCCTCCATAGCGCTATCCCCTCTACAGCGCTAGCGATCAAGAAAGTAGGCCCGCAGACCGCCAGTTAGCTCTGATCTAGCGGAATTATAACTCGTCTCGTTTTGAATCGCGCCTCACTGAACCGAAAAACCGCAGGATCTTTTTCAAACGCGTAACCCTCCCGTGTAATTTTTTCACAGATTTTAATGTCCAGCTGTATATTGATTTCTGAAAATCAGTATACGAACAAAAAAAGGGAAGAGGCGAAAGGGACACTGCTCTGTAATTTTACATTTACGTGTTTATTAGGAAATACTGTATTCAGCGTGTATTCGTATCTGTCTATTGTCATATTCCGTGGATGTTGCGATATTGATGGAAATCGAAGTAAAAAGCGATAGATTGAATTATTCTGTGTATACTAAGGTAAATAAATAAGTATAGCCTGAAGCCGTAAAGATATTAAAGATTCAAGTAAATATGAAATTAATAGAGGAAGTATAAAAATGCTACGTCGCTGTAAATATATGAAACCGGATTCCATCGGTATCGGTGATGCGATTTAAAATAAGGGAGGCATGAAGTCGGAGAGAACTTCGGAAAATGTAATTCCTCGGATAACTTGAATTTTAATATCTAGCTTCTTTGCGAAACGGCTATAACATCCACTGTAAATAATATACAAAATTTGATTAAGAACGCAGCAGATAATAATCCATGTCAAGAATGATTTTCTTCAAAAATAAATTTCCTTATAAGAGTCAGCCGTAAACGAAGTGGACGAAAAGTAAATAAAATGTCATTTTAATTTATAATTAAAGATATAAATTAAATTCTCGATTGAAACGAGAAATCAGGCAAAATTATACGCGACTTGACAATCTGTTTTTTTTTTTATTAGATAAATAATTTATTCATAATTTAACGTGGAAATTTTATACATTTTATATAGATAGACAGTATTTTAGAAACTTAAATTTCTGCTTTTTTTAAAGTAAATTTTACAAATTTTTTTGCTCATTAATTCCTAATTATTTGTTACTTATTTTTTCCCTCCCCATTGCAACTTTTCCAATATAGATTTTAATTATCTACGGGACTTCGAGTCGTCGATGGTACAATTTTTGTGCGCGTTGGTATTTATCGCGAACGATAAAGAAAACTCAATTAAAGCGGAAATGGCAGGAAATAATCCACGTTGCAAGAATGAAAACTAATTTCCACCAGAAATAAATCTCCTCGCAGAAAAAAAAAAAAAAGGGGGAAGACCAACAGCGAATCAAGCGAACGCCAAAAAAAAAAGAAGAAAAAAAAACGGATAAAAAGGGAAGTTACGACTCGCGTGGAAAGTGTGAACGAAATTTCATCCGTTCCGTACATGTATGTATGCATGTGTGTACGTACGAAGGACTGTACAAAAGGACACAAGTGGGTCGCCTGATCTAAAATAAGGGAAAAGAAAGAAAGTGGGGGGAAAAAAAAGAGATGCGGGTCCGTTGGAGCTTGTTCGAGCAAACAAACGATTCGCGCTACCGGTGACATTGCTACTTCGGCTCACTATCAGGCGAAAGCACTATTCAATTTCCTGCTATCTCATCGGCCTGTGCACCCTTCCACAAGGGTCCGCCCTACCAGAGACTGCAGGATCGATGTGCTGGAACTCACCCCCGTCTTTTGTACAAAAGCACTCCGCGCCTCTCTCGAACGCTTCCGTTTTAAATACGCGCCATATTCGTGTAACCCTTTTGTCCCGTGGTGCTCACGCGGACACGATTTTTCCATTCGAAGAACGACCGATCAAACGCGGAAGCTAATTTGAAATACGTGAAAACCGCTGCCTCGATTACGTTTCTTCTTTTCTTCGAGACTTCTTGAGAATAGGTTTTTTTTTTTTTTTTTTTTTTTAATTTTCTAGCACGATTATATTTTTGAACTTTTGTCATTCGAGTTCCCCTTTGGGAAAAGGAAATTTCACAGCGAGGCGAGTTCGAGATTTAATTGTCAAAGGGTCTTGCAGATCACGCGTGGCGGCTTTCATTAGGATTAAGAAGAGCTCTTTGCGCTCGCTCGGAGACAATGACGCGTCGATTAAATCAATGTGATAATTAGACGTGGATGTTTGCCCATTTACGAGCGAATACTGAACTACGAGGATGCATGAAATTTACATGGCGCACGAAGATATACACGTCGTAATATTCGCGGACAAATATTTATCTAGGCTTTATTGCTTCGGTTCAGTGTTCGTACTGTTGAACGAGCATTCCGGAACTCAAATAATTTTCTAATATCTGCGAGGGATGAATTAACTCGTTGAAATACTCTCTGCATAAATTCTATTTCACTCCTTCGGAATATACGACCGTACGAGCACATGAATCTCCGCGAATCTAATATAGTTTAAAATAAGAATGAGTTGGCCTGGTAATAATCGGAAATAATTTCGTTGCCTCGATGTTCGCTTTGAGAAACTGAGGTCGCATTAGTATACGAATCACGACCAGGAGCAACATTCCGCGCGAGGATCTTTCGTTTCTCGAAAACGACTGTTCCAAACAACCCTATCTGCATCGTAAACCTCCGGGTCAAGACGATCCTGACCCACATGTGGCCCATTGAATAAGAATCGTTCTGACCTACATGCAGCTTGACAATCGATTTTTCCACTTGGAACAATAATTCCACGGGATCCTTTGACCGGGAAAAAGATACTTGCAGATACTTGTGAAAGCGTTCAAACACTCTGACACAACAAAATATATATAAAAAGTGCAAAATACGTCGTGCAAAACATTCTGGAATTTCGTTCGTACTGTAACGAGGGATGATTGTATTGTGTTTGTCAAATTGAAAATGTATGGAAGTTAGTAAGAAATTAGTTAGAAAACAATTAGACTGTCTCAAGCTACAATAAGTTGTTGCGTTCTTATGCTTCGCAAAAGAATTGAAAAATATTTGAGGTCTGAACGAAGCACAGGATGATAAAATCTTTATCTTTTGAAAATGTTATAAATCCTTTCTGTTCGCTAATATCGAAATATAAAGATTCGAGGGTCGCATCGGGATTGAAGATGAACTTTTCTGGTCTCTGTGACGTATATTCTGTATATTTGTCTTAAATATCTTACAATTTCTATATATATATATATTAAATATAAATATTTTTTATATATAATATATATTAAAATTAAATATTTTAGAACATTATTATATATAATATATGTTAAGTATAAATATTTTTAAATATATAATATAATAATATATAATATAAATATTACTTAATATATAATATATATTAAATATAAATATTTTTAAATATATAATATAATAATATAATAATACATAATATGAATATTATTTAATACATAATATATATTAAAATTAAGTATTTTAGAACATTATATATATATATATATATTCTTAAATTTTTTAATAAAATTGACTTGATTCGGCGAAATACGAATTTCAATTTCAGTCTCCGGTCAATTGCGGAATTGAAACCAGGACTTGGACAGATCTTCAAATCGCGATGTTTTCCAGTTCGTCGCGCTTCGCGATTTTCGTCGCGTTCGTCTCGCGTTCCCTCGGAGGAAACACGAGCGGCGAATTTACGAGTTGACACACACGCGTGGACTTCTTTGTCATGTATTCGTGAAAGCAGGCGGGAGAGGATGTCGCGATTGTTGAGAAACGTTGAGAATACAGCGGACACGGAGGTTGAAACTTCGCCGGTGTATTTGACCCTGGACACAATGAGGCTAATCAGCCCATTCTGAGTAGCTCATTGACATGTACGTAACGTCAGCAACAAACATAGTTCTAACAGGGTCAATTACACCGATGAGAAATTACACTTGCTTGTGATTCGATCGGAGAACCAACTGCCGCTCAATTTGAATTTCGAAGAATCTCCCGAAAATTTCATTCCTTTCAAACACATTTCCCTACGAATATTAAAATTTCTTTTTGATATCGGACACTCTGTCGTCTTCTTCTTCTTCTTTTTTGCTGTCACTCGACAGGTTCGTTGAAAATTCGATTGATAGCACGGAACTTGTGTTCTCTCGTGTCGCAAAATTTCATCACTCTGAAACTCCAGAAATATGGCAAATTTCAAGTAATTTCAGTTTGATCATACCGTATTTCTTTTCGTTTCTACGTCCGATACTTTTAATTCGAAGTCTCGTCAGCTACATCGATCTCAGCAATCGATTGACACGTTTCACTTTCCGAGTTCAGTCGACAAAAAAACCGAGGCTCTTGATCGATTCGTACTCGCGGAGTGTTTCTTGCGCATCGACGGCAGAGTTAGATGAAATCGTCGCCACTGTGGCGATTCCAACTCGCGGAATACCGTTGGCGATGGGAAAAAATGTAAATTTCACACGGCCATGGCGAATATCGAATTCTAATAATTCCTGCAACCGCGGAATGAAATTGCGGTGGTCAATGAGAAAGAAAGAGAAAGAGAGAGAGAGAGAGAGAAGAATTACCGTGGCTCTGTGAACGAATTTCAATGATAAAGAGAATGTAATATTCGACGACCTGGATCCACATCTCGCATATCCTCGAGGTTTCTTAAGCCCAGACACGAGGACTGAAGGATCTGAAGCTGCTCCCCGTTTGTGATGTTCTCTCACCCTAATAAAGACCCGGTGAGATCGATCGGACTTCTCTGAATTTTAACTATAGACGTACTGAAGCCGGCGTTGTGTTTTCCTTCGCCTTTATTACCAGCGCGATAAAGTTTCTTTTCCGAATCAACATTCCAGCAGGATTTTCCAAAGTGAAACTTTCGTAATAAGTTGGCGCACAATTTGTGGCGGTGGCGTGTAAGTTGCGCAACAATCCCCGTTTACC